TCTGTAGCGTTTTTCAAGCTGAACTTGCAGCAATCAGCGGAGCTGCAAGATGGCTGACCGATTCTCTTATTAGTCTGCATGCGCTATCTGTCTTTTGACATAGCCAGGCAGCTATTAAAGCACTTAATTGTGACAAATCTACATCGAAGATTGTCATGGAATATAGACGTACTCTAAATGTGCTGGCAAGGTGTTACGTCACTAATGTTGTACGGGTACCGGGTGCCAGGTCATAAAGACATACCGGGCAACTGTGTTGCCGATGTACTAGCAAGGAAAGGAACTTTACTGCCTGCAATCAGTACAGCTCATAATGCGGGCCCATCATGGCCTGAGTGTGCCCTTTCCCTGTGCGGGCTAGGGAAGCCAAGATAACCTAACCTAACCTAACCTAGAGTACTAAAAATTCTAAAGATCTCCATCCAATAGAAAAAACAACTTTCGATCGAATCCCCGCGGTATGACAGCCACATCACGAGAAACGCGTATCGATTTCCGAAAAACTAAGAAGTAACCTTGGCCTTCGAACGATCGCCTAAAATTAATTTCGGATCGATTTCTTTGAACACTTTGAACGTTAACGCTAAAAAACCTTCTTATGTTATATACCCGACCTTCAATATTTGATTTTATGGCTCACTCTGATGAATAATTCGATCAACAGCTTAAAGGTCTAAATCAGGTATGCCCAGCGCAGGGCAGTTGCTTATGGAGTTCTGCCAGCATTGGACATGACTGGTCTAAATCATTTCTGCAGCAAAGTCTCTTTCAAACCCCACAAGGTTAAATCGCAGCTTTACAAATAGCTTAGTCATCTTAGTATTATCATTTCGGTACCTTTAATATATAGTGTGAAGCATCGTTTCAATAATTATTTATTTTTAATAAGTCCACGTAAGCTTACTTTCTGAGGAAAGAAATGCACTTGCCATTTTGTGACAGTGGGAACGCCACCTCATTGGATCGTGTAAAGTACATTTACTCACAGAGCAGTCTCGATCGGTAGAAACGTTGTTGAAAGGCGTGGCAATCAATTATGTATTTCATTAGCTGGATGAGAAGTATAGAACTGTGTGCTCGGCGAATGAAAAAATGTGGCTGTCTCTCTTTTGCCTTAACCAGACACATTCTTCCCGGTACGTGTCCAAATATTGAACACAAAATGATGCTTAGGGTATATTAAAGCCACCCTGCATACATACATGCCCGGTTTTATGGACAAATTATGCACATACATACATATCCATACTAGTATGGTCGCTTTCGTAAATCTACAGCCGCAATAGCGGCGACAATTCATTCTAAATAATAGAGACTTTTATCGCCAACAGCAATGCGCCAACCTTAAAGGCCCGTTTACATACAACTTTGGCGTTGCGTTGGCGTTGGCGTCACTTCGACAGCTGACTATGAGTACATGCATTTATATGAAAGTCTCCATATAACCAAAGTTGGGCAACGCCGATGCCAACACAACGCAGAAAGATGGCCAACTCTCAACTTTTCGCGTGCGTCGTGCGTCAGCTGTTCTAAATAATCAAAATTATGTGATTTAATTTTCATTTTTAATCAAATGCGGGCAAGAAATATGGTTTTTAATGCAATTATTGATGTAAAATTTTGATTTATCTGCCGCTAGTGTGTTAATTTAGTGACCAAAGTATTCTCTGCTACGCGTTCATTGTAGCAAGCACGGGCGTAACTCGCGCTGCTGTCAAAGCGACGCCAGCGCCAACGCGACGCCAAAGTTGTATGTAAACGGGCCTTAAGAGCCGCTATAAACCACTTTGTATGACCGCAATAATCACTATAAACATTACGCTGCAGCCACCTTCGAACTGCGCTGGCAATCATCTCACAAAATCGTTATAATTTCTAAATCGACTACTTCTATTTTTCGCTTTTCTTGTTTTACCGCTACGCTTGATTGCTTTTTTATGCGGGCCGCCGGTCGATCGCGTGGCATTCATTTAATGAATTTATTGAATTGCGCCACTGTATGTCGGTAGGTTTCGCCCGCAGCATGCGGCGTTGACTTATGAAGTTCCACGGCTGCATTCCATTTCATTTAAAGTGGACGTTAAATCAGCAAATAGCATTCAAATCAACTGGAAAAATATTCAATTAATGCGTGTTGTTGTAGGCGTGTAGAATAATTGTTGTCGTTTATTTGTTTCAGCAAATGCATTCCCGCGGGGAAATATGTACATAACTTGGTTTAGAAGTAAAGGCTCCGTTATGAATACTTGGCATTGCTTGAGAGTTGTCACATAAGGAATCTGTTAAATGAGCTTCGCGTGTAAGCGGTTACCCAACGCACAGCATTACATACGTAAAAGTCTGTTGGTTTTTGATTTCTACGTAAAAATGGTATAGCAGTGCATGCAATGCCAAGTATGCATAACAGAGCCTTAAGTTTAGTAAGGTTAAACTCACGGTTACAGTTACTAGAAGAGTAAATTTAATAGGACAAATCGATGAAATCTCTCTACACTTCCTTATGGAGTTTTGCCTGCGCTGCTCTAAATCATGCACCTTAAGAAAAATATTCAATTCAAGCAGACTCTAAGCTAAAGCAATGAGAAAAATGCCCAGTCAAAGCAAACTTATTTAAAACCGTAATTGCACTTTAAGAGTTCTTAATTTTGCGTAAAAATATAAATAACTCACGCTGTAATTGCCATCGAAGTGCAGGTAGCTTGTGGTAAATTTTCCAATATTTTTTTTTTTGTTAATTCTAGGCGAGTGAAATACTGTACATAACTACATACAATTATTTAAAAAAGAATTGTGATTTTTGATTTTTTTTTTTCTGTTTTAATTTAGCTTGCAACTTTTGCATGCCAACTTAAATTACGAGCCTCCGCTGCACACACGCAAATAAAAAAATAATAATAATAAAAATAAGAAACAAAAATGCAGCAAAAATATTTTCACATGCCAACCTTGAAATTCCAATGCAAGAACGCATACCAAAAATAAAATGAAAATATTTAGCAGCCACTACAGCCGAGCAATGCACTTGGTGATCTGGCAAAAAAGCAACAAACAACTAACTACGAGCCAAAATCCACTTAATTTTTGCACAAACATTGCAAGTGGCTGACAACGCGGCGATGGCGACAATTTGTTGCCACTGACGCAGAGCGAAGTTGAAGCAAAAAAAAATAATAATAATTAATGTAGATAGTAAGAAATTATGTACATATGCAAAATGTTATAAAATATTTAGAAGCTGACAAAAAATTTTGACAAAACTAAATAAATAAATTGTGAATGGCAGCAAATAAAATAAACCATTGCAAAAATAGCAATGTTATCTCATGCTGATTATTATTTTCAAAAACAATTCGTATGGCTGTCAAAGCGCGGCTTCATTGATGTTACTCGCTTTGAACTCAGCTGTCCCTCGTCACTTTCGCTGTTATCAATTTGGCGTGCTGGTGTCACTGTGATTGACGTGCTCAGTGTCAAAGATCAATAAATATATATATTTTTTTTAATTTGTTGTAATTTTGGTGCAATTGCTTCCTGATTTCTTTTCGTGTAGGGCTTTCAACCTTAATTTTTTGGTGAATTTATATTTCAGAGCGAAAGTAAATAGTCGGGACTGTTATCAATTCGTCGCGCTGATTGAGTTATTTATTAATTGTATAAGTGAATAAAATACAAAGTCCTGCGCTATATGGTGTAACTTATAGCGTATTGCTTTTGCTATAGCACTTTATCAATTTAAGAAGCTATATTTGATTTCATTAGGAGATAAGAATACACAAATTTCCAATTCCGGTTGAAATCACAGAGACCAGACTAAGTAAATGACATCATTTATTTAATTTGCAGGAATGATCGACCACGTAGGCGTAGCTTATTTAGTATAGATACGGTTAGTTAAGCGAGAGATTCTGGGAGGATTTGAACTGCATACTCTGAATTAAACGTTTAAGATTTTTATGAAATTTGCAATCTTTGAAACTGTTATTTATATACTAGTGAACCCGCATGGCGTTAAAACGCCCGAAATTGAATTTAAAAAACTTAAAAAATATACCAAATGTTAGCCAGAGTTATGAGAAATGCGAGTGCCATATTTCATCAAAACTATGCAGCCGTTTCTGAGTGAAGAGCAGTCTCGCATAGTCATCAAATCACCATATACCTATGAAAAATTTTCTTAATTCCAAAAAAAATTTATCATATATCTACAGGCTAAGGTCTCAAATTTGACCTCTTATTTTTGAAATTCCTTTACAAAAGTATTCTCAAACGAAAATCTTCTCAAAATTCGTTCGTCTGACATTGTGATACACATGTAATCCAATAAACTGATGGACTCACTCGAATTTGATTGTTCGAACAAATGGCAACCCTCCTAAGTAAACGTCAGGAATAAATTCCATTTCGTTTTATACCCATCTTTTAATAATTTATCCAACTTACTGAATAGTTTGTATGTAACTTTTTAAGCACGTGGCAACTCTCTTCAAACATTCGAATCGTTCAAACTAATAATTTTAAAACATTCTCCTTCGCCATAGACTGCGATTAATATTTTAATTAACTGATTAATTTTAGTTTTCAAACATATGGCAACCCCGCTGAATACAGTTCAGAAATAAAACATTTTAAAACCCCTTTGATTGATACCCATATTTTAATAATTAATTTAACTTATAAAATAATTTGAATCTAACTTTTTAAACAGGTGGCAACCCTCTTCCAACACCTGAAAAATTTTCTTTGCGTTCAAACTAAATATTTCTTAACACTCCTTCATTTGACATCCATATTTTGATATTTCGCGTAACTTGTGTATAAGTAAACTGAATTCAACATTAATCGGGGGGATATTATTTTCAAGTACTTTCTAGAAATTTATAATTTCTTAAACAATAGTCTTCCAAATTAAAGCCTCGCCATAACTAAGATCTCATTTCATTATTAAATTCTTAGTTTTTCTAATCGCAATAACTTATGTCTGCTTGTTTTTCTTCTTTTGCAGCCACATCGTCTACAGCATAAAAATTTGCATACAAAAAAATAACAACAAAAAATCAATGGGAAAAATATTTAAAATATTCCCTGTGTGTTTCCATGCGCGTATTAAATCAATAAGTGATTGCCAAATAAGTTCTCAATTGTAAAAAAATAACATAAAATAAATTTTATTGCCGACGCGCTTGCTTTAATTTATTTATTAGCAAATAAGTAAAAATAATAATAAGAGAAGAAGAAGAAAAGTAATAAAAAAATTTTCAGCGCACTAAGGCAAACAAAACCTCGACCGAGCAAACAAAAACTGGCAAAGTAATCAAACAAAAATCAACAAATCTAACAATAAATGAATGTCTGTATGGAAGATACAAGTGAAAAAGATCAGCAAAAGCAAATCACACAAGCGCCAGAGGTCATATCAATTGGCGTTTGATTTACTCGCTTTGCGAAATTTCGCAAAAATTCAATAAAGAGAAAATAAATATTATTGCATGATCGAGTTTTGGTGCTTCGGAGAAGTGGAACGCTAAATAGAAAGTGTTTGAGTGTCTGCGTGCAAAGAAATTTCCTAAACAAATAAAGAAGTCATTATTTCATGTGAAGAGGAAAGAGGAAAGACTAAAGTGAATTGTTAAAAAATATTTGAAATTAATTTGGATATTTTTGGAAATTTGGGAAAGTTTAGACAACTCGCCAACATACATACAAACATACATATTTGCGTATGCGATTTTAATAGCGTATTCTAATTGAAGAAAGCTATTGTAATATTTTCTTAATAGAAATGGCGGCACCTAAGGATGCTCATAAAATTTTCTGGTTGCTGTTGGCACTCTTGGTGGCGGAAGTCAAATGCAGCGATACAGCACGTAAGTAGATGATTATTTACATATATACATATTTATAAAAAGAAGATTAAAAATGATTTAACATATTTTCGTGATTTTTCAAAGGTCATTGACTTATTTAATTTAAAATTATATCCATTAATATAGTTTGTTTACTAAATAAATTAAGAAATTAAAGCGCTTATTCGCAAAGCGGTGGACCTTACATAAATCCTCAAAGACCAAACAAATTCTGTTCACTACTATGTAGAAAACACTATTCCAAACCACGATACTTTTCCTTTGAAATTTGGTGTCAAACAAAGGTGTCAAACATTTAGCGGTCATTATGGTTCTAAGTTAAACTGGAAGAATACTAAAAATAAATGGATTAGGCTCATTCCATCTCAAATCACCCAGTCCGGTGGAAAGTGAATTTAAGCTTGCGATAAAACTCACAGGGATTGTTTCTTGAACAATTTAAGGAGACACGTATTTTTTCTGTTTGTTCAGAAATTCGAATTTTTCGAATAATGAATTTTATTCTTTTTGAGTACGAACGCTTCTTTTTTCCTCTATTAATAGCAACTTTTGATGAAATCGCTTATAACTGCCGCAAAAAAGCAAGGATTTTAACGATTTTTTTTCAAATTGCAGAGAATCGATCTATTGAACCAAACAACAGTTATTGTTTATTAATAATTAATTATTGTTTATAAACAAAAAATTTTTTTTTTCAAATTGATTTTTTTTTTAATTGCCACATTTTTTTCTCTCAAACTTCTTTGTCTATTAGGGAATAGTATAAACTATTTTCAGTACGAGTAGCAATATGCTAAAATTCGTCGTTTTCGAGTTATGAATTTTGTTTTTGAAAATGCACTTATATTATGCTAGCAGATTCTCGTGCCAATTGAGGGCACACAAATTGTTGCTCATTATGATAAAGTTTCCTTGCTGGAAATAATTTGAGGTTGCCCGATCAGAGCCAACAGTTTTTCCCAATTGGGGCCCATTTAGGAGGAAGGCCGAAATAACACGCGATTTGCCCAATCTACCGAAGATTTCCCCAACCAGTGCTTAAAATTTCCTCAAAGTGAACATGCATACGCAATTAAAACGTTTTTGTCGATAATATCACACAACACACATCAAAATTCACTACGAAAAAAAAATTTTATTATTTTTCTTGAAAAATTTCCACATACAAATTTTTTGATGAAAAAAATGGTTTTTGAAAATATGCCATCGCAAAAAAAATTTAAAAAATTACAATGGTAGCTCTGAGTATTGCGCAGTATTTAAGTATAGTTTTATGGGGTGCACTCTACAATAATTTGAGCTATGAATTTTTTTTTACACCGAAGTTTAGTAAAATGGGTACATTACCAATTTACAAATTTTTTTTAATTTTTTTGAATATGCAGTTTTATAGCCCATTAAATTTTAGTATAAAAAAGTGCAAGTTTTAAGCGATCACAAAACTGCCGGTAAATAGACCATTAGCTTGTTAGAAAATTCAGACCTTTCAGGTCTTCAATTGAAATTAATGTAACATGGCGACTAGGAAAAAACTGCATTCAAAGAATTTGAATGAGCTGATTCAATATAGAAATATTCTATCTAGCGCCTAAAGTGGTCTGCATAATTAAATTTTTCAAAACTAAGACCGACCTTGGCTCTGTAAAAAGAGACCTCATTTAAGAAAATTTGTTCAGCACTAGAATTTTTGTCTTACCATAAATTATCATCGGCCGAACTGCATACCTGGACGTAGTTAATGCTTCGTATTTAAGCTGCGATCCAGCTTAGATTGAGTATTTTAAATTCCAGTAGTGAAAGCTTTGAGGATCTGGGAACAAATTTCACTCGTATTAAATGCAAGTGTTCTCTTTCTCAATCCAGAATTCGAGTAGCGGCATGGCTATTACGAAATTTTAATTAATTTTTACTAGCTGGCAAAAATATTTCGCTGCAGTGTGAAGATTAGCAGTTTTGTGAAAAAAATATAAAATATAAATATGTAAAATCAACTGAGAAAAAATAACAAGCTACATGTACATATTTTGATTTTTGTTTTCTACTTTAAAATGTCAAAAAAGTAAATCAAATTTTACATTAAAGATAAAATTGCAAATTGTAGTGCTTATCATAACTTTAGGACACCGACATATTGACAAGATTTAACTATTTTTTTCGTTTTGATTACGTGTTTATAAAAATTTAGTTTACGCTTTAACACAAACCTTAAAAAGTTTCAACCTTTGCGCAATATTAAAAGAACTACATACTAAATACACTCAAAAAAAGGTTGCCAAAAAGCTGCGGCAAGTCCGAGGTACTTTAAACTGCCACTTTATTGTATTAAAATTGAATGGGCTACAAAAAACTGCGTACCTGCTCAAAATTTTCTTTTTACGAAAATTTTTTGAATTTTTTTTTTTTAAATTGCACAAACATTGGAAACTAGTTCATACGGGTTTAATTGAAAAATAAACTGTACTTTTACAAAAAAAAAATAATAAAATTAAAAATTAATAAAATAAACAAATTATCTTTTATCAAAGGGAAAAATTATTATACATACATAAATAGATACTTAAATTCACCACTTGCCTTTCGATAAAATCTTTAGCCTTACAAAATCTTATAAGTTCGTTTTATGTGCGCCGTTTTTCGGACACTCTCATAAAATATATTTTAATAACTAATAAGCTGACATATGAACGTTTGTTATGGCCCTCCATATATCACACTCATAAACTTGCTCAAGCATCCACTTATTCCCACCCTCATCCAGCCATACAACCGTACAGCTTATACAAATTAATGCACGCGGCTGTGACATCTTCCAAAAAGCAAAAAAATAAAAAAATATATCGCGTGGGCGCCTGCTGCTGCAGTGGCTGTACTCGGTTGCCAGTTGCCGGTCACACTTGGCGTCCGCTTGCGAACACTTGCCAGCGACAGTGTCAAGCCTTTTAAGCGAGGCGATTAAAGCAAGACAAGTATTGAAGTGAAAATATTAACTATACAAAAAAAAAAAAGAACGATGCAAAATAAAATAAATATAAAAAATCGGAATGAAAAGAAAACACAATGCAACAAATATTGCTACAGTTTCGAAGCTCTTAAGTGCCACGCATTAATTGAAGATTTTTGCTTTAAGCTGTCGTAAAACATATGAAAATCGCTTAATTATTTGCTATAATTCAGTTTCAGCAAGTTATTTATTTATGTTTGTTTTGTTAAAGAAAAAATGTTTTTGAATGTTTCGAAATTATCTCTAATGTTAAATGAGTTTGTTTGCAGCTGTTTAAGGCATACATTTGTAATTAGCTAAAGAAAAAAATTTAAAATAACACTTTTTAGGAAATAACAGAAAGTGTATCTAATCGAAACAAATGCAATGATTTCACTAAACCGCATAAATAGTTTTCACCTAATTAATTTCATTGAAACAACCAAAATATTTCCCACATAAACACAAAGTATTTGCAAATGCAAATCGAATAGCAGAAAAAATTCCACAAATGCGGGAATTAGAGCAAATTTTTATGATTTCCACTTCCGCTCCAGCCAAAAGCGTAAGCAGCTTACCAAAATAATAATACTCAAGAACTGGAAAAAACGGCAAAAATAAAATTGTTTAAGAACACTTGAAAAATTAGCAAATACCAAAACCCGCAATTAAAAAAAATTTTCACAATGCAAAACTCTGAGCGAAAAAAAAAATTTCAAACGAAAAAATTACTGCAATGTGTTTACCGAAAATGAAAGCGCTAGAAAGAAAACAAAAACAAACGCAATTTGATAACAAAAATACATGGTTTTGTTGGTATGCCGCTAGGCAGAGGCCACCAGTGCCGCTGGTGTTTCGCAAGCTGTGGCGTCATCAAGTGGCGCGCTGACCTGGGCCTGGCGGCGACACGCTACGAGTCATAGAGCTGCTGACTATTGGCTACTAGCTGGCTACTGCAGCAGTGTAATGAAAAATGGTGGCCGAATGGCTGGGTGACGGTGGGCAAGTGAGCCGTTGCTTGTGGCGTCATAATTGCGTGCCAGCCATTTGAAGTGGCCAGTGGCACTCACGGAGGCACAAATATTTATTGAAAACTGTGTGCTTTTTGACCAATTAATGTGCTGCTTCTTTCTACAGTTGCTATTTGTTGGTGTTCCAGTAATGCGTTTTTTTTTTTGGGGGAAATGCTGCAATAATTATTTTCGTTTTTGCTACAGTTCACTTGAAATGGCAATGGAAAATGAACGACGTTGTTTGTTGGGAATTTGAAAAATTTCTTGTAATTTTTGTTAACAAAAAATTCGAAACATTCGTTGGCTTCGTACTTTAGCTTTTATTGCAATTTTTAATGTTACTTTGTACCAAAATTACTTGCGACCATTTTCTGAACAAAATTTCTGTTTAAAAGGCAGATACATAAATTTTAAAATCTACTTGAGAGAACAGCGCTAGATATGTATATCAAACATTTTCTTCGTTTACTTTTTTTACTTTATATGAGCTATCTTCTCCTTGTCTCTTTCTACAAAACTTAAAGGCGAATTTAGCGTTATTGGTTGAAGGCTCTAACAGAAGTAAGCATAATTTTTTCTCATAAAACCAGATTTTCCCATGAAACCGCCTAGCCCAACTAAGTTCTTATATCCTTAGAAAAATATCTGGAATCATGGATGCTGAATTTTCCAGCAGTGAGCCCGGAAATTCCTTCCCTGCTCAGCCAGGCATTGAAATTGCCAATCACCTAACCTAAGAAGATCTATTTTGCTAAATTCGAATTGTAATCACTCAAACTTTAGGCTATTTAAGAAGTTAACACTTTGGAGGGTACCATGTTCCAAGTTTTGGATGGAGAAGACAATCGTTCCCTACGGTGCCTGATGATATGATTATGATTACCCCATATAGAATATGCTCTGGGGTTTCCTCCACCAGCCTACAAAAACCTGCAGTCCGTACCGTAATAATATAAAATGTATGGATGTATATGCAAAGAAACACAAAATTCCTAAAATTAAGGCTT